TGTTTCTCTTATCTGATTCCCCATTTTAGAAGGATCTTGTACTTTTGGGCTTTGTGATGTTTTTCATTTTTTAACATTCATTGCGTCCCATGGGCTCAACTTCTGACAATCGCATTCTCTGTTTCAAGAAATAATTGTAACAGCTGACAAATGGATGGGATATTTATTGTAGCTTATGGATCTTGGCCATCTGGAGAATACTAACTATCCATTTATTTTATAGCCACACCTGTATTTCAGAATGGGCATCTGTGTAATGGAAGCCCTGTGCAAACATTTGCTAGTATTTTATACGTCTTTCTTTAGGATAGACAAGGAACTACTCTACTTACTACCTGCAGATATTTCTGTTAGCATCTTTACATGAACACTGGTCTAGGCCTTCTTCTGATATGCAAGCCAACCTTGGCTAATGAAACATGGATTATGAACCAATGCAACTACAGTCTGAGCCCATGGTTTGTTGCTGACCCAACAAACCCATGGCTTGTTTAACCCATCTCCTGTAGCAATGCCTGAACCCACAAATATGGCTTGTCTCTGTCTTATTCCTCTGGCTTAAATGGAAGCTCACAAACTTCCATTCAGATTGTGGCTTGAAGAACAAACCATGACTTGTTAGAAATGACGCCATTAGGTGAATAACAGCATAAGTGGGATTTTTATTTCAACTTATGTTACTCTTGATAATAAGATTTTTGGAGGGTTCAGTATAATATCCAAAACAAGTCCTCAAGTAGCATTAAATGAAACTGGATTTAGATAAACCACTGTCTGCACCGTCCTATTGGCCTGCGTCAATAGGAGCATAGTGTCTAGATCTAGGGAAGTAATGCTACCCCTCTATTCTGCCTTGGTTAGACCACACCTGGAATATTGTGTCCAATTCTGGGCACCACAATTCAAGTGAGATATTGACAAGCTGGAATGTGTCCAGAGGAGGGCGACTAAAATGATCAAGGGTCTGGAGAACAAGCCCTATGAGGAGCGGCTTAAGGAGCTGGGCATGTTTAGCCTGAAGAAGAGAAGGCTGAGAGGAGATATGATAGCCATGTATAAATATGCGAGAGGAAGCCACAGGGAGGAGGGAGCAAGCTTGTTTTCTGCTTCCCTGGAGACTAGGACGTGGAACAATGGCTTCAAACTACAAGAGAGGAGATTCCATCTGAACATGAGGAAGAACTTCCTGACTGTGAGAGCTGTTCAGCAGTGGAACTCTCTGCCCTGGAGTGTGGTGGAGGCTCCTTCTTTAGAAGCTTTTAAACAGAGGCTGGATGGCCATCTGTCAGGGGTGATTTGAATGCAATATTCCTGCTTCTTGGCGGGGGGTTGGACTGGATGGCCCATGAGGTCTCTTCCAACTCTTTGATTCTATGATTCTATGATTCTGTCAGGATTCCAGTTTGTACTGAGTCTGGAACTAATGGTCTGAGGAATAGTGGATCATCCTGTATATATGCATGATACCACCACCCAGGTCAGTTTTGTCCAACCTTTGGTCCTCCAGATGTTTGGAACTCCAACTCCCAGAAGCCCTGGTGTGAAAGGTCAAAGATTATGGGAGCTGAAGTCCAAAACACCTGGAAGAACAACAGTTGGACAACACTGATCCGGGTCTTTTTCAAGGAGGAGCATACAAGGCAATCATCTTGACCTGGGCCACTTAGGAATCTTGCTAAAACAGAGTGAGTTAAATGATTTTCTCTTGGTGATATGAACACTTCTTACACCTGGTTATATACTGACTGCCTCTGTCTGCTCTTCCCCAGTGATATCCCTTCTTCATGTACCAGGTCTCAAAGTGCCTGAGCCCATGAGAAGCTGTTGTTTCAATATCTTATCTATTTTTCGGATCACTTAGGCAGGCTGCTACTCTCTTAGCTTTATCCCTTGTATTCTTCTTTCTGGCTGCTCAAATCTATGCTATAGAAAGAACCACGCCGGCTTACTTATAAGGATGTTGCAAGGATTAATGAGATCTGTATGTTTTATACGTGTTAAATGGTATTACAGTGGACTCTCCGTTAACCAAAATTCTAATAACCAGAATTTATTTATTTATTTATTTACATTATTTCTATCCCGCCCATATCAGCCAGAAGGCGACTCAGGGCGGCAGAATCCTCAAGCAAAAGGCAAAAAAGAAGGAAGAAATAATACTGCATTCATACAGCTATTTTCACAATACAGTAAAACTGTGTTATATTAAGTTTGTCTTTATTTGTCTTAATATAATTACTGTAAGTCAATGCAGAGTTTATGGTTTGGGTATAGTATTAGTTGGGCGTATTTTAATAGTAATTCTCAAGCAACCAGAAACTACATTTTCTGGTTGCTTGAGAAGGAATAAAAGATAGCATTTTGGAATCTGAGTTCTTGAGGGAACTTGATGGACCACAGTAGAATCCAAAGACCTATGGTAGCTTAAAACCTTAAGGGGTCCCAGTTGTGATAGGAAACAAACTCAGTGTCATCGGTCACATGATGTGCATGTGCGTGTGTGAGAAAGAGAGAGAGAATGAGTGGGGGAAGGAAAGGCAAAGAAGGAGGAGAAGGCTATTTTACAACTTTACAACTGGTAATGTATGCTATTTTATTACCCTCTCCAGTTGATAGCAATACCATCCAGTATTTGTAAATTACATTGCCTTTCAGTAACCCTTGCATCACCCTTTAAAGGTATGATTATTACTATGTCTTCAGTTATATATCCAGCTCTCTGGAACTATTTCACACTTGCATTTAGGACATTTAATAGTTTGTGGTGGAACAAAAGGGAGGATGTAAGAAAAAAGGAGGAACAGAAAAATGTTTAAGGATGCTCAAAGCTACTGAAGTGCCAGGATATCTTGCAGATTTGATGAGGTCTTTCATGATAACATATGGGTCAAAAGGGAGGAGGTGGAGTACTTTGGAAAAAAAATACAAATTTTGTTGGATATCCTGTTTTACGCTTACAGCTATACAGTGCAGCTGCAGAAATGCAAATACAGGTGGGCTGTAAAATGAATGAAAAAGGTCATTGCTTTCCAGATGTCAATCAGCCAGAAATTGAATTGAATGAATTTGACACCTGCTACAATTAAACACCAAAAATCCTCTCTAATGCCAACTTCCTCAATGTTTAGAATCTATATAAATACATATGTAATGTTCATTTGTGGGATTAACATAGCTGAAAATCCACTGGACAAATTGACACAAAATTTGGACACAATGCACCTATCAGGCCAACAAGTGACCATCACTCATAAAAACACTGAAAAACACACCAGAAGAGACTTAAAAAGCCAAAAAAAGTATACATTACAATGCATGCACAAAACCACATATATACACAAATATACACACACACATATATACACACAAAACACATATACACATACTGGGTCATAGCAACGTTTGGCAGGGGACAGCTAGTGAAATATAAAACAGTTTTCCTCGACACTTCAGATGTCCCTCCAAACTACTTTTCTAGTATAATAGCAGCACACAAGTGTTCAGAAGATATAGCATTGAACAATGACATAATTTCTCTTGCCACTATCAGCTATCCTGCTGATCATGTGAATCTGTAGAACCTACTGATCATATGTATATTTAAAAGTTATTGTTTGCATGTTATAGATCAGGGGTCCTCAAACTAAGGCCTGAGGGCCGAATACGGCCCTCCAAGGTCATTTACCTGGCCCTCGCTCAGGGTCAACCTAAGCCTGAAACGACTTGAAAGCACACAACAACAACAACAACAATCCTATCTCATCAGCCAAAAGCAGGCCCACACTTCCCACTGAAATACTAATAAGTTTATATTTGTTAAAATTGTTCTTCATTTTAATTATTGTATTGTTTTTAAGTGTTTTTTGCACTACAAATAAGATATGTGCAGTGTGCCTAGGAATTCATTCATGCTTTTTTCAAATTATAATCTAGCCCTCCAACAATTTGTGGGACTCTGACATGGCCCTCTGTTTAAAAAGTGTGAGGACGCCTGTTATAGATTCTTCCACTAGTTGACTCCTGAATATCAGAACATCTCAGTTACCTGAATTTACTATGTATTAACCCATAGCTCTTATGTCTTCTTGGACTTGATTTAAATATAGCTTCATCCCAAATAGTGTTTTCTAAGTATCCAAACTTTCAAGTATCATCTAAGCATCCAATAACACAGGTTCAAAAAGGTTTCTGTTAAATATTCAGTTGTATTACAACTTAGTTGAAACCAGGATAACATACAGGGAGCATACCACGTCCCTGCTATGCCAGCTCCACTGGCTGCCGGTTCATCTCTGAGCCCAATTCAAAGTGCTGGTTTTGACTTATAAAGCTCTATATGGTTCTGGCCCAGCTTACTTGTCCGAATGCATCCACCCCTACGTCCCACCTCATAATCTAAGATCCTCCAGGGAGGCCCTGCTCTCGCTCCCGTCAATAGCACAGATGTATCTGGCGGGGACGAGAGACAGGGCCTTCTCAGCTGTGGCCACCCGCCTATGGAACACACTCCCAAATGAGGTAAGATCCGCTTCCTTCCTCCTGACTTTTAGAAAAAAAAATTAAAATCATGGTTTTGGGACCAGGCCTTTGGACAGTAGAAATAAATGTACATGAATTGAATTTCTAAATGGCAATTCAACACTTTTATTGTTTTAATGCTTATTGATATATTGTTTTAATTATGATTTATGTTTTATTGTGGTTTTACTATTGTAATTGTTTGTATTGGCATCGTATCGGTGCCCAACATAAGGCATTGAATTTTGCCATTATTTATGTGTAAACAGCTTTGAGTCCCCCCCAGGGGTGAGAAAGGTGGTATATAAATACTGTAAATAATAAATCTATCTATCTATCTATCTATCTATCTATCTATCTATCTATCTATCAGGGAAGAGAATATTGATTGAATATTCTCAGGGAAGAGAATATTCGTTGAATATACCATTGAAAGGTATTAAGAAGCTGAGCCAAGCTTAATTCATTTTCCCCCTTTTCAGGTATCAAAGCAAGCCAAAGAGTTCCTGGAATACGTTTATGAAGAGCCCTTGATTGACATCCAGCAGGAAAACCCCATGTTGTATAGGCACGTTGAGCCACTGGCAACTGTGGTCCGTCTGAGACAGCAGCTGAAATCCCTCCGAGCCTATTTATTCAGCTGCAGAGCCACAGTGGCTGAAGACCTGCGAAGAAGGTAGGAAAAAGGCTCCAGCTTTTCCAAGGCTGCCTTCTTTCCCTCCTGGTCCATCACTCACTTCCTTCTCTTGGTTCCCATGACCCAGCAATTAAACTGCTGCCCAATGTGTCTGCCTGGTAGTTGCAACTGGATACTTTCAAGGGGAGGGCCTGATGCCTTAAGAGGCCTTTTCTACATCAGAGCTTTCCTGAGATATATTAGAACGCCTAAACAAACTGGCAATCCTATAGGAAGAGTGATTTTTACATATACATAGCAAGATGCAAGTGTATATAGTCATCACAAGGTATTTGTGAAGCAACAGGACAGGTTGAAAGCATGGAGCAGGGGAGAGGACTGGACCAAACCAAAGAAAAACAACAAAAAAACTTTTTCCAGGCTCTAGGCAATAGAATATACAAACCTTCCAAAAAGCTGAACATAAGATGTGAGACTGACCTACTCTTTTTGGACCAGTAATCCATCTAGCCCAGCAGTGTTTATTTGACTTCCATTAACTTCCCCCATCTTGTTACCTAATATCTTTTTAAACTTGAAACAATGAGAAGTGACCCCGGGCCTGTTGCTCTGCAAAACAAAGCATATGATCTGACCCATGGCAAGATGTTACATTAAGGCCCAATTATATACATTTTCTTCAGATAGGAATGATTACTGGAATTGTTCACTCACCCTAAGAGAACTTGTGTATTTGCAAAGATGCTTCATGGTACAGTCTAATCTGTTCATCACAGTACTAGGGTGTTTGGTTTTTTTTGGGGGGGGGGTGGCATTACAGGAAAAACACTACAAATCCCAGGACTTTGACTTGTATATTTTTCTTTTCTTTCTGCTCCCAAAATGGCCTGCTTTCTGTTACTTAGGTCAATGAGGTCCCTTCTACACTGCCATATAAAATCCAGATTATTTATTTATTCGTTTGTTTGTTTGTTTATTTACAGTATTTATATTCCGCCCTTCTCACCCCGCAGGGGACTCAGGGTGGATTACAATGTACATATACATGGCAAACATTCAATGCCATAGACACACAACATAATTAGACAGACACAAAGGCAATTTAACATTCCAACTTCATGAGGGTATTCTGGCCACCAGGGGAGTTGTTGCTTCACCACTGATGAAGTACTTCCTCATTCTTTGAAGGCTTGCTGGAGATTTTTATGGCACCGTGAATTGGTTAAATTAGCCTCCCTGCATAGGCGGTACCTAAATTTCCTACTTGACAGATGCAACTGTCTTTCAGGCTGCAAAGGTCGACAGCAAGCTACACAAATTGGTCAGATACTCACTCCGACCCGGGCTGGCTTTGAACTAGATAATATGGCAGTGTAGACTCATTTAGTGCAGTTCAAATGTGGATTATCTGCTTTGATAATCTGGATTATGCAGCAGTGTAGAAGGGGCCTGAGATAAGCAAAAGAACTGAACAGAGGTGGAGTTTGGAAAAGCTCTTTTTGAACTGCAGTTAACAGAATCTCCTTACCAACATGGAAGTTGTTGTACAAAAATTCCTCATCTCAGGACTGGCTTTCAGATCTTGCCTCCTTGACAGATTGGATGTTCCAAGATATGAAAATAAAATAAAAACATGCCTCGGGTCTCTGTTACCCCACAGAATTCCATGAAAATACCCGAATTCAGTGTGTTCACTATTCACATAGATATGTCTTGGAATTCTGCTGTTGTTGTCTGTGGAATGCAATGCAGGTAGTTCCTGAGTTACAAACATTCAATTTACCTTGTTACAAATGGAGGTGAAACTACAGAAAGTGAGAGGAAATCTACCCCTAGGAAAGGAAATTCATTCCCGAAAGAGTTATCATGTGAAAAAAGGGTCATCACTAAAACTTTATCACCAATCCTTGTTTCCATGCCAAATTTTTCAAAATCTAATTGTCACAGGACAGAAAGTGAGGCCAAATTTTCTGAATGGGCTCAGACAGCAAAACAAATGTTATGGGGGTGTGAACCCTTCTGTATGTTACCCAAAACCAAATGATAATATATATATTTGCTAGAGTTCTGCTTTAAAATGTTGCTTTTTCTTTCTTTTTTTAAATACAGTTTTCTGTGTGCCTGGGAGGGGGGGGGGAGTCTCTCATTTAGTACCAGCCATTGATTGAGGTGCTGGGTTTGAGCCTGCCACTTTTGGACTCTCGCTTGCTGAGGTGTTCCAGCGAGTGTCTATGTAGATCTTAGAAAACTATTACTTGATTTGAGTTGTTGATGTGCTGGCTGATGCCCAAACAGGGGGTGGGCTGGAGATGTCACTGCCTTGGTCCTTTCACTATTGGTTGCTACTTCCCAGCGGATGTCAGATGGTGCAATACCGGCTAAACAGTGTAATTTCTCCAGTGGTGTAGGGCGCAGACACCCCGTGATAATGCGGCATGTCTCATTAAGAGCCACATCCACTGTTTTAGTGTGGTGAGATGTGTTCCACACTGGGCATGCATACTCAGCAGCAGAGTAGTCATAGCGCAAGGGCAGATGTCTTCACTGTGTCTGGTTGTGATCCCCAGGTTGTGCCAATCAGCTTTCGTATAATATTGTTTCTAGCACCCACTTTTTGCTTGATGTTCAGGCAGTGCTTCTTGTAGGTCAGAGCACGGTCCAGAGTGACTCCCAGGTATTTGGGTGTGCTGCAATGCTCCAGTGGGATTCCTTCCCAGGTAATCCTCAGAGCTCCATACTCTTGCATAATTTATTCTGGCTGCCATCACCAGGTAGTTGAAAAGTTTATCTTTGTTTAGCTCTATTTCGAAATCAGTTATTCCCAGAAGAAAATATTCCGGTTTTAATTCCATTTTTATATCCAGTATCTTTTCTATTTTTTGTGGATATTTTTCCAATATGTTTTGGCAGTTTTACATGTTCCTTTTTCTGACTTACATACAAATTTCACATAAGAACAAACCTACAGAACCCATTTTGTCTGTAATCCAGGGACAGCCTGTACTTGGAATACCCTTTATAGTTCTCCTCTCTGGGGCTGGATGGAGGATGAAAACAAGGATGTATAAAAATAGATGTCTTGGACATTTTGCCCTTTGGCATCTTTGCTTCAGGGAGCAAACAGAGGTGATTTTTGCTTACTAGAGATAAGCAACGATAACCTATGTCAGTGCCTTGATTAATAATGTCAAGGACAGCTAACGAAAGATATTAATGTCAGTAAGGTGCTGGATGTTAGTAACCACATCCCTGTTTTAAATGTATCTATCTGTGCTTGGGTGAAAGTGTGTGTGGATGAATAAGCTTGTAAAAAAGGATACAAGCAATGTTGTACTAATAACAGTCTTGCGCATACCTCCATAGGCAGCATTATCGTTTTTTTGTATGTCTTTCATTTGTAATATTGGTAATAGTGTCTCCTTCAATTAGTACAGAACTGAAAGCAGGCTGGTTTATGGAGGGCACAGTTCAAAAAAGGCTTCAGAGAAAGAAATTACTGCTTTTGATTACCACCAAAGCCAAAAGAGACTGTTCTGATTAAAATAAAGAGGCAGGGAAGGCCAAACCCAGTCAATGACGAGAGTAGAAGAAAAGAGATCAAAGGAAACAAAGGGAGAAAAGCAATGGGGCTCGAAGACATGGGGCAAAGGGGGGAATGGGAGGATTCTGGCTGAGGCATGAAGAGCCAGAGCTGATGGGAAAAGGTGATAGAAAGGGTCCCGAGGAAGCTATGAAGAGGCATTCAGGGGAGCACAGGAACAAAAGCAAACCTGAGAAAATAGGAACCATTGGAAACTACAAAGGACCGCAACAAAGGAGGATTAGAGGCTGAAAAAGCTGCTGGGTGGATATAGTGTAGCGAATGGAGTGTACAAACCGAGGTTGGAGATTGGAAGGGAAGTAAAGAGCTTTAAAAAAAGCCACCCCCACATTGTTATCAAAGTTTGCGAAAAAAAAGTTAAGCTGCAGTTATTGGGAAAAGATGGATGAGCATACTGTTGGATGTTCGTGGGAGGTGTATCAATGAATGGGAATGTTAAAGGAAGGCTTTTAGGGATTAAATAATCGTACATATAAAAGATACATGTTCAGGTAACAGTAAAAAGTTCAGTGGTCGTGTCAGCTGCAGTTGACATCAGACGGATAAATTCAGTTCAGTTGCCATACTTGGTCTGAATTTGATAGGTAGTGCCTTCAAATACTATAGCAGTCACCTTTTTTTTTGTCGTGTCAGGAGCGACTTGAAAAACTGCAAGTCGCTTCTGGTGTGAGAGAATTGGCCGTCTGCAAGGACGTTGCCCAGGGGACGCCTGGATGATTTTTGATGTTTTATCATCCTTATGGGAGGCTTCTCTCATGCCCCCGCATGGACTGTGCCAGCAGGACTGAAGACCGACAGGTCGCAGGTTCGGATCCGGGGAGAGCATGGATGAGCTCACTCTGTTAGCTCCAGCTCATCATGCTCACCCTGGGCAACGTCCTTGCAGACGGCCAATTCTCTCACACCAGAAGCAACTTGCAGTTTCTGACACACACAAAAAATAGAATCATAGAGTTGAAAGAGACATGGGCCATCCAGTCCAACCCCCTGCCAAGAAGCAGGAAAATTGCATTCAAAGCACCCCCGACTGATGGCCATCTAGCCTCTGTTTAAAAGCTTCCAAAGAAGGAGCCTCTACCACACTCCAGAGCAGAGAGTTCTACTGCTGAACGGCTCTCACAGTCCTTCCTCATGTTCCAATAGAATCTCCTTTCTTGTAGTTTGAAGCCATTGCTCCACGTCCTAGTCTCCAGGGCAGCAGAAAACAAGCTTGCTCCCTCCTCTCTATGACTTCCTCTCACATGGCTATTATGTCTCCTCTCAGCCTTGTGTTCTGAAGGCTAAACATGCCCAGCTCTTTAAGCTGCTCCTCATAGGGCTTGTTCTCCAGACCCTTGATCATTTGAGTCGTCCTCCTCTGGACACATTCCAGCTTGTCGATATCTCTCTTCAGTTGTGGTGCCCAGAATTGGACACAATATTCCAGGTGTGGTCCGAC